CATTGTGTTTCTTCCCAACAGTGAAAACCCTAGGATAGTGATTTGGTTCATGAGAAGTCACAGGTGATTGATAAACACTTCACATCAAACCTGGACGAAACCACAAAAACAAATTCAAGGTGGCAACAGGTTCACATCTCAGAAGCAACAGACTTGAAGAAAAACTGGAGTAGCATGTACAGTATCTGAATATATAACATGTATTTGGCAATCTGGGAATGATCAACAACTTCCAGAATACATTCCTTGGATGCTCATATGGGAAATTGACCCGAACTGACCATATACTGAGGCAGAAAGCAATCCCTGGCAAATTTCAAGAAATTGAAATTATGCATGTCCACTTCTTTACCAATTCAATATACTTGAGTTTTTAGCTATCACAGTAGAGCTATCTAAAAGACAAAAATGGGGCCTGGAGATATGACTCAGTGATTAAGAGCATTGGCTGCTCTTCCAGAGGACGCAGGTCTGTGTCCCACCACCCATATGGCAGCTCACAACCATCTCTAACTCCAGTCCCAGGGGATCCAGCACCCTCTTCTAGTCCCCTTGAGCATCAACTACATGAATAGTGCACATGCACAAATGTACACAAAACACCCACATGTAAATAATTTTTTAAAGGCCTTCAGAAATGTTCACACATCCCAGCACTTACGAAGTAGAGGCAGAAGAATTAAGAGTTCAGGGACAACTTTTGGCTATGCAGAAAGTTTGGGGCCATCCCAGGCTGCATGAGATTCTTCTCAGAAAACAAAAGATCTTATACTTGTAAACAAAGTCATTTTCTATGAACATCTCTTAGAGTCTACAAAAGCGTGATGACTGGGCAGTTTAGCAGTTTAATGGGAGATGATGTCAATATTCAAAAGGTTTTGTTTCTGAATGCAATAAGAATTTCATTTTTTAATAGTCCAAATATAACAGCACCAGAATCCATGAGACAGGTACATAATACAAAGCATGTGAAGATGTATGTTGAACATTACAGGTCAAAAACAACAAAATGACCTTGAGAAATGGAGATATACCACATTCATGGGTTAGATACACAACATTGGAGCCCTGAGTTTAATCTCTAGCACTAGACACCAGATTGTTCCGAAAACTCAATATTGTTAGGGTTCCAAACATGTATAGATTCAAATCAATTCCACTCAAAATCCCAGTAAGAGTTTTTAAAGAGCCGATTCTAAAACTGAGAAAGTAAAAGAGACTTGAAGGGCTTTTCATACCCTGGAGGAGTGTTGCGGAGAGAGAGGGGCCTGAAAGAATGTTGGACAGACAGGCAAAGATGAAAATAATCAAAAGCAGGAAAGGGGACCGCTAGAGAGCGGCCCGCCCATGTCCTGAGCTGAGTGGAGCTACAGCAATGGGGAGCAGAGAGCTGGTATAAACACAAACCAGCGGGGGGGGGGGGGGGGGGAGCCAGAGGCTGCCTGCAAATACTCTGCTTTATTGCTTGGTTTTTCTTTAATGGAGAAAGGGCAGTCTCCAAAATCGGGTCCATATGCTTAAAAAAACAAAAAAAAACCTCTATATGTAGACAGATAATTCACACACATATGTGTATGATACTGTGCAAAATTTAGCTCAATGGTGAGCATATTTTAAACTAAAATAAAACTTGGGAGAAAGCATGCCGGCTAGGGATGTGGCTCCGGCAGGAGCGAGCCCAGCGTGTGGGCAGCCCTGGCGTTCATCCTCAGCATGGTGACAACCGCCTGTAATTCCAGCACTCAGCAGGTAGAAAGAAGCAGGGTGGTAAGAGTTTCCGGGTCATCCTAGGCTTAGTGAGTTGGGAGCCAGCCTGAGCTACATGAGACCCCGACTCCAAAGAATTAAAAAAAAAAAAAAAAGGTGACCCTGGGTTGAACAAAGATTTCCTAGACATCGCACCTGTGATAAATGAACTTCCACACCCCTCCCCCATAACCACCTGTGCATCCCTTTACTTGCATCCATCAAAACAACATATCTTTAAGGTTACAGCTCATCAAGGATAGCCAGCAGGGGCTTGAGGTAGAAACTACAGAGTAGACACACACCCCTACTAGCTTTCTCCCAGGCTCACACTCAGCTAGTTTTACACACACACACACACACACACACACACACACACACACACACACACACACACCCCTACTAGCTTGCTCCAGGCCCACCTGTGTAGAGCTATGACTGCCTGCAGTGGGATAGGCCCTCCTACTTAATTAACAACCAACCAAACAAACAAAAACCCAAACCAAACCAAACAAACAAACAAACAAACAAACAAAAACGCCCAGAAGACACAGACACACAGGCCAGACTGCAGGAAGCTATACTTCAGTTGAGGATCCTTCCCCCCAGGTATGTCAGATTGACATTAGCCAACACAGCTGCCTTTGTGGGTTGTGTGAACCCCAGCTTAAAGCTGAGACTAGCAATTGGCATGGGCTCTCAACCTGTGAGAGCTGATGCTGTCTCCAGGCAGGCAGAACTGACCGAGAGAGCATCCAGGTGTCCACTTCAGAACCGTTTACCACACACACCTGCGGTCAGAAGTGCTCTGTGTTTCAGAACATGGTGGCACTTGCCTATCATCCGAACACTGGAGGCCGAGGCTGGGGCTGTTGCATTTTCAAAGCCAGGGTGGGCTACATGACCAGTACCAGGTCAGCCAGGGTTAAGACCCTGTCCTAAAAACAATAAACCATACACACAAACACACAGAAGGCAAATGAGTATCCCAAAAGATGGTCTACATTATGTGGTAGAACATGTCAACCTACTCAACCTGTTTTCAACAAAACCTATTCAACACCATTTAGAAGGGTAAAAATTCACTACACATGAGACACACTGCAAAGGATCTAGCAACCCGACTGCGTTTTGGGGGTTGGGGTGTGTGGGTGTGTACAGTCAGAGGCACTCAGTTTTGAAGACCGTTTGGCAGTTTCTTACAAAGCTACCCATTACGCTGAGGATGTGGCTTGGTGGTAGAGGATGCCCTTGGCATGTGAAGGTCATGAGGTCAGCCCCGACTCGAACACCCAGGCTTGCTATGAACACCCAGGCTTGCTATGAACGCTATTTTAAGTTGAAGACAATTGAGTCAACAGCTGACAAGAGCAGCTTTTTCGGGGCTTGATCCAAAGGCAGGGAGCTCTGAGGCTGAGGCTGCCCAGGTGCCTCAGGTGAGCTGTACCCAACCCAACTTGGACATGTAGCCGCACGCTAGACGGCCCGGGCCACTGATTTGCCCGTGGAGACACTCCCCTGCCCATCTGTCCAGTTCCACAGGGAGCAGGGAGCAGCTCCACGCTGCAGCTCCACGGTGGGTTAACATTTGTCTTCTGCTGATCTTTTTGAGTGAATTCACAGATCCCAATCACCCACTAACAGAAAAAATCACACACAAAAAGCAACCCCCAACAATCCTTCTGGTTCCCATGCTCAACAATCTCCTTAGTTCAACTACTCCAGATAAAAAACGGGGGAGTGTGAGTGTGTGTGTCTTCCTGGAAACATGTCGAGGGTGTGGAGACCTCCTACACCAGGCCTCTTTTAAAGCGGGGTGTTCACTGGTGATGGAAGCTTCTGGAGAGCAGGTACATTAGTGCCCCCCCCCCCCCCACCAGGTGCTTCAGAGCTGGGGATTCATGCCACGGCACGGGGCCAAGCCCAGAAGTTTCTGTCTCAAAGACGCCTTCGCATACCTCCTCCGGCTTCATGTCGCAGGGCAGGACATCAGAGCCGTTTTAGTTCGGGGTTCAAGGCAGATGGACACCCTGAAAAGAGGACTCGATTTGTTCTTTAATGTGTGGCTGTTCCTTAAGGTGTTGTGATGGGCTCCACGGCTGCGGGTGGCACCAGCAAAGGCCACTAGGGGTGACCCTGGGTCCCTGTCGGCCGGGCGCGCATGCAGTGCACTTACCTGCAGGGCGGCGCCCTGGAGTCCACGCCCGGGAAGGAAGCCGGGGCCAGAGGGAGGCAGACATGGGGGAGGGGGGCGCACGGGACACACATTGAGGAGGGTCGAGGTCGCGTGGGGGTGGCAACCAGACGTGGTTGAGCCCGCCTCCCAAACCTCTCAGCTTTCTGCTCCCCTGCTCCCATGACGCCCCTCCTGCCGCCTCCCCTCCCCTCCCTTCCCCTCCCCTCCCTTCCCCTCCCCTCTCCTCCTGACCTCTTCCCCTCCTGACCCTTCCCCTCCTGACCCTTCCCCTCCCCTCTCCTCCTGACCTCTTCCCTCCTGACCCTTCCCCTCCCCTCCCTTCCCCTCCCCTCCCTTCCCCTCCCCTCCTGACCCCTCCCCTCTCCTCCCTTCCCCTCCCCTCCCTACTCCGAGTGTTGCTCCAACAGGGAAGCGGGGAGCCCAGAGGCTACATCACCCTGGTGGGCTCCACCCCAGGCCTTCATCCTGGAACCACCTGTGCCCAGACCCACCCAGACTGAAGCACCCTGTGCTGGGTTCCACACCCTTTTCCATCAAGGTCTGGTTGACACTCAGAGAACGTGTGATGGCGCAAGGCCAGAAGGCATCCGAATTTTTACAAAGCCCCATTTTCTGGAAAGAATTCATTAGGAGACTCTGGTGTCATTTGAAAAATAAGATGACGTCAATACTTACCTTTTCCAAGGGATTTGGCCTCGTGTGGCAACCTGCTGGCAATTAAAATCCAAGGCGTGGGGGTGGGGGTGGGGTGGGGGTGGGGCGTAGCTCAGGGGCAGAGCTCAAATTCAGCTTGCCTGAGGCCCAGAGGGCCATCAACAGTGTGAAACCCTCCCAAGCCCCCACGTCTCTCACCTGAGCCCACAAATACTTTCCTGCTTCAAATTTATTTGTGCATGTGAAAGTGTTGTGTCTGGGAAAAGTGAACTTTGATGGAATAGGTGAACTGTTCGGAAGACTTGGGGTTTTTGTTTTGTTTTTAAAAAACTAATGGAGCAAATCAGAATTTCCCCTAATGCAAAGAGAGAGATTCCGTAGCAAAAGATGACAAGTGCCAGCGCTTCGTACAACTAGATTTAATAAGTTGTTATTACAGAAAAAAGTCCAAACTACAAAGTTTAAGCAGTTAAGCTGCATGAGCTCCACGTTCAGTCACAGTAGCGAATCCGTACAAGCAGTATTAGTCCAAGCCCCAGGGCAGAGGGAGGGTTTACCAGCGAACACAATCCAAGAGAACAGGTAGGAAAAGATACAGTCCAGTTAAAATTAGTTGTTAGTTGAAAAACAAATACAGAGATCTTAGCTGTGAACACTCTAAAAGTCATGTCCATCATTTTGACAGCAAAAATACAAATACCTAATCCTTTATACCCCGACAGCACTCTGTCCAGGAGCGTCCCCTGTACTAGCACCCAAGCTCTCTACTGGTCCCAGCGAACTGCTATATCCACACAAGTCAACAGCTCTGGACTCATGGTCCACTTCTTGACCCATCCGGGGGTATTAAGTCAACAGCATCAATTATAAAATACTCTGTGGTGAGAATGGAACACTATGGCAGCTGAGTTTGACAAGTTTGGTTATTATAAAAGAAAAAAAAAATGTTATCAGACACAGCATACAAACTAGCGATAGAGGAGTGATCCATACAAATAAGCCAGTTTTAACAAAAAGACACTTTTTTTTTTCACTAATCTGTGACTAACCTTTCATTCAAACCTTGCAAGCTGAGATGTCACAATACTCAAATATTTAGGTAGGAGCTTTACCCAGTTAAATGCCACTTTGTTGCTAATATAATAGATAAAATGAAAACTAGCAGTTATTTGCTAATTGCATAAATGCAGTACACTGCATCAGCCCATGCCTCACTAACAAGCTATAAAACACAAGATATAGGCAGAAATCTAAGCATAATCTTTATACCACTAAACAAGAATTTTCCCAATTTCTTCTGTTCCTAATCATTTATTTGTAGTTAATGTAAAATTCCAACCAATAGGACCCAATTTGAGTTAAAATTTTACATCACAACTTGATCTAATCTATATATTATTTACAAAACTGAATACATAGAGCGAACCCAAGAGCCGACTCTGGACACACGCTTACTTATCCCAGTTATTGATCAACCTCCTCGCCACTTCAACAGAACTAGAAGAGGCCACCGACAACTAGCAGAAATGCACCATCTGTCTAGAGGAGTCCCCGGATGTGCCGTTTACACAACACCAGCTCTGTCACTGGGAGATGTCTCTGCAGTAACTGTGGATGCCCTCCCGAGGCTGGGGGCGGGGCTGGGGGTGCGGATGGGGGGGGGCGGGCTGAAGCAGCAGCAGCAGCAGCAGCAGCAGCAGCAGCAGGAAGGCAGACAGATCATGCACAGAGTAGCCCAGTGTTACCACGAGAAGAGGCAAACAAGGGGCGGGCGGGCGCCATCACAGAGAACAGCGGAGTGGGGGAGATGCAGCTGAGGCATGAACAGTGGTGACATAGCGTGGTGACAGAGTGTGCTTCCCCAGGGCCTGCCGCCAGCCCTTCCAGGGACAAGTCAGGTGAGGCATTCAAGTCATGCAACGTACAAGGTGGGGTCTTCTCACACATGTCACCACTGTGCATGCGAGTAAGATCGGGAGGGAAAGGCACCGGCTCACACATGGACAGCAGTTGGTGGGGGACGGACACACACACACACACACACACACACACACACACACGCACACACACACACACACACACACACACACACACACACGCTGGACATAAAGAGGAGTTTTAGGGAAAGCACTGGATGCTGCTGGCCAAGGTTGGCTGCATACCCCGTGCTGGTTCAGGAGGGCTGACTTCATTATCAGACGACAGGTTTTACTGCATCTGGTGTTGTATAAACCCACTGTGACATCCTTAGAGACCTGTCTGTCCTGTGACATCATCCCTAGTCTCACACTAAGCCACTGTGATAAAGGAAAAGGCTTGTCAAGATCCCGCACGTTCTGCTCACTGTCGTTTATTACCCAACTGTCCGTCCCAGTCCCAGTCACTTTACAGAACCATCCGTTTCCATCATTGCCATTACTGTAAACCACATCAGCAAGTTAATACATAAAGCTTTGCATTTCAAAAAACTAGACACTTTAGTAACAATATTACAAAGGTTTTAGCTTCAAAAATAACTGAAAATGAAAAAAATAAACTTTTAAAGAATTAGCATCATAAAATTAATTTATTCCAAGTAAAAATACAAAATAATATTATGACGTTGACCAGATATGAAAGTCCCTCCCAGAAACAACTCTAGTAATGATTGAGAAAGCACTCCTTAAAGAAAATACGAAATAAAATGAAAAATATGTAAATATGTTTAATTTTTTTCTTAGCAAAAAATCTTTCTAAAAATAACAATGAAAATTTGTCTCAGTACAAAGGCTACGTTACTATTGAAAAAATACCAGCATGAGGAAAAGGTACGTTTTTGACAGTAGAAAATGAGTTCTGTGAGTCACAATGTCTAAAGTCTGCAATGAAAATAAATCTGCAATAAAGATTTATGCCTTTTTTCTTTTCTTTTTTTTCTATTTTTTATACAAACAGTACAAACAGTATTGCACGTAACAACAAAGAATCGAGGTTAGTTACAGCCTTCAAAAAATCCACTAGTTCAAGTGTCCCATCAAGGAAAGGCCACGGCAGGACCTGTGTTACCAGGGGCTTCCCAGTCAAGTTGCAGGGCAGAACACCTCTGTGTTTTAAAAAATAACTTTTTTGAAGGACCCTCTCTTTTAATATAACATTAAGAACTTGAGGGGAGGGGCACATTTATTTACAAAAACAAACGGGAACATGTTATAATTTAATAAACTAAAAAAGTTCTCTTTAAAAAAATACAAACAGAAGAACTCTTTCACAATCCTGGTCAGTCGCACAATCAACACTTGATTATAAATATACAAATTAAGGGAAAGTAGTTTCCATCACCTAGTCACAGCTCTCAGCACCAAATGGAGTCTCTCTTACAACCTGGTCTCCACGACACTGTGGCCTCCGCGTTAGTTTACGCTGCACAGTCTTCCGGCTTCTCTAGAGCTCAGGGTTATTTTAGTACATGAAAGAGGGGTGCTTCTTCCAAACATCTGCATCTTTCACATAATTAGGTAGATTTCTGTAGGTTAGATATGATCTTTAATATTATAGTTATAAAGCTCTAACTTCTTCATTTTCAAAAAACACAAATAAGCATGAAAAAAATAAAGTTACCCATCTGTTAAATCATTTTCTTGCAGAATTAAATTAATATATATTTTCTGAATAAACTTACTTAGAAAATATCATTTTTCTTTCCTATATTTCAAAATTGAGGTATTGCAAAAGATCAGGTCAGTCAGAAAGCATGCCTTTTTCCTTAAAAACAAACAAACAAAAATCATCAGCCAACTTTTGAAAACGTTCTAGAATATAAAAAGTAGTAGTGCGTAACAAAATTTCCCATACAGATGAAAAAAATAAAACACAAACATAGAAAAAAAAAAAAAGGAAAAAACAAAACCAAACCAAACCACACCTGGGCCGCAGAAAAGCAATGATTCCCAAAAGGCCCAGAGAAAACCCCCAAGGGGGAGGGATCTAATAGGCATCTTTTAATTCAGTAAAAAACTATTTTGTTTCTCCTTTTTTGAAAACAAACTGTAGCTGGAGAGCCAGTATTCACAACTAAACACTAGAGAGACAAAAAGAACCAACTACAACTAAAAAAAACCAAGTCACACTAACTTCCAGACGGTACAAGGAGACCACAGCACAAAAGACTCAGTGACAAACCTACTCTGCAGTGTGCATCCGGTCAGATTGTCCCCAGAATTCAAGACAAGGACGGAGGGTTAAAAAGCTTACAGTCTTGCAATCACCGTGCTTGCTCTTCCTAGTACTCTCCACAGCCCAGGAGTGAATGCTAAAAGAATGTCCACGGTAGCATGAGCAGGGCTCCATCCTATTCAAGCTTCACAGGGTGAATCCAGGGAACTAGTAGTTAGTGTCTCGCACGGAAGGCCGCGTCTGCCCAGGCCATCTTGGTACAGCCATTTCTTTAGCGTCACCCTTACGTGGCTTTCTTAACGATGTGCGTCAGTGTCAATCTGACAACTTATCTCTAGATATTGTGTATAGTCTTAGTGTTTGTAAGCTAAGATGAGCTCTTTGGCTTTCTGGACAAGGTCTGAAGCTATGTAGAGTGGTGTGAGCACTAGGAGGTCATATCTCAGAGCTCATGTGTTACTTAATAATATACCAGTTATGAATGGTCAAGTTCATAATGTCTGACACAGAGGCTTTTAACAGTTACATTGGATCACAGTTAGACATAATCACTTCACTATAGAAAAGAAATTGCACAATGTAGAACAGAGCACCGCAAGTACTTCATCCACCGTCCACAGATTTGCCAAAAGAGTATCCTACACTAGGTTTTCTATTGGTTTGAATAATGGTCGGCCTGATATGGGCTCTTCCTGTCCACAAGCATTCCACCCATTGAGGCATGCCTTCCTCCCACCGATTACCAATTCTTTGAATGAAAAAAAAATCATTTAAAAAAATGAGTATTTTATAGCTTATATAGATTCTTAATTTGTGCATTGTGGGAAGGTTTTATACTAGACATTGGATATAAAATTTATTGCATGCAGCAACCGCATTAGGTAAACATGCAGTCAGGAACGGCGGCCTCTGCTGGCTCTCTCTGGTCTCTTCTCCTCTCCTTCCGGCAGCTGGCTCTATCCCTAAACCACAAAAGTGTGTGTTGGGTTCTTGTTTTTGTTGTTAATTGATACCTTAGCCTGAATAGAGTATTATGGTATCCACAATACCATTTTAATAGCAGCAAAAGCTATTGCAGCATAAATTTACATAACACTAAAAGATCTAACCCAAATCCTCAGCCAAACAAAACTCAAACATGAAGGAAAATGAAAGACCCAGCTTGTGAGGTATCTGTACATGTACAGAGCGGCTACAGACTTATTTTCATGAAGGGCTATCCTTACTCTACGCGACCCCCACTACTGACTGCTGATTGTAAAGTGTTTGCTACATCGGCCTCTACTTACACGTGTGACCTTTGGTAAGTCTTGTCCTAGGGGCGACTCTCTACGTTTCTGAAAATAAGTGCATGCTCCAGTAAAACCAATCAGAGCCACAACACCACAACATCAAACAAAGAGTCACAGACGTCAGCCTGACGGCCGCTGATGAGAATGGCAGTCTACGTACTGTGGAGGTGACAGATCAGGTGTAAGAAATCAAGGTACCAAGCAGACAAGTTGTGAGTCAAAGTGCAAATGGGTACCGTTACACACTCTGCGATTCTGCATTATACTGGACGCTGAGTTCAGTAATATGACTGTAAATGATAATAATAATAATAAAAAGACCCATTTCTTCTTTAAAAATCGAGAACGAATGCACAGATTTCCAGAACACCGTGAGCCCTGAGGCAGTGCCCTCTCTTCCTCCTTGTGATCTACTCCAGTACTTGTAGCTGGGTCGCCCGGGGTTCAGCTCCAGCGGAACGGGACGTGCCGAGGGCGGTCGCCCCCCTCCTTCACCAGCGGTTTGTGGAACTCTCGGCCGGCTCGGGAGTGGATGCTGGCCCAGCAGTATTCACAGTAGTACTGCAGACAGGTGACGTTGGCACAGAAGAACGGGGCAAACTTCCCACCGCAGCGCGTGCCCTGGCACTCGTCACACATCTGATCATCCAGCACATATGGTTTCACTTCCACCTGGACCCGGACAGGAGAGACAGGAAACAGGGCTCAGCAAGGCTTCCTTAGCCTCGTCTGCAAACCCGAAGTGGTATCCGGTCAGTTCTTAACCTCTCTGTGTGTTCTACTGGCTACCTGATCTGTAAAGGGTCCAACCCACACACAGCTGTGCAGCCATACTCCTGAGGATGGACAGAGCCCAGTGCAGGACAAACAGCATCCCAGCTGGGGGAGTTCTTCAGACAAAGGCTACAAGTCTGAGAAGGCAGGGAACCAGGTCTGACAGGGAGACTGGTAGGCTCAAGGGAGGTTCGGGGCTTCTGTTGTGATGATGGCAAGGCTTTTGAACCTGTCTCAGGGCTATACTGGACCCTGGGAACTGCAGGGGCACTGGGGACAAGGGGACACGCCGAGACGTTACTGTAGAAGGAGGCTTCCTACTAGTCTGGGCGTGCTTTATCATCTTACTCTCTCCATCACCGGAAGCTGACCAGCGGGTGTTTATCACAACCCTTTAGGGAGCATTTAATGAACCAAAATGAAACCAAGCTACAAGTATGAAAGCCTTTCAAAACCAAAGAGGAAAACACCTGCTTGTCATGTTTCTCTTTCCCGGAGCCTAGAAAAAAAGACTGAAGTGTGAATTTCTTTGTCTTGAACACCAGGAATAAGCACATAGGTGGAGAGTCTGACCAAGTCTCTGCCACACCTGTGGTGGAGCCACGCCGGGCAAGAGCAGCCCTGCGGCTGGAGCTTAGTCGTCAATGATGCGTCAACTGTCTGACCCAGAAGCCTCTAGGAGGGCATGAGTCGGGGGTCTCACCAAGGGAGTGGAAGTTGGGAAGGGGGAGGGCACAGAGGCTATAGTCACCTCCCATTGTGGGTTCCTGTCCACAGGTCTGTCTGCTGGCCGGACACTTCCCCTGTAGGATGCTCACGAGAAGACTCACGCTCTCGGTCACCCAAGGAGAAATGTCTTTACTGCTCCCTCCCCCCAACCTTAAGCTGAGGATTGAACAAGTAGGACTTAAAAAATCTCTTATATTAATCTCTGCATCATAAACTAACACGGCTCTGCAATCAAGTCTGTCTGGGCTCATAGCCAGGCCACATCAGAAACCTGTTCTCCTCATCTGCACACCAGGAGGAAAAAACCTGTCCTGCTTTATAGATTTCCTATGAGTGAGTGAAGTCGGCCGCCCAGAGCTCTGCCCCACACCCCGTAGGCACAGCTCTACTTCCTCTGGTTCCCTGAGGCCAGGTTAAACTCTGCTTAGATGTGCTCAGGATTGACTGAGCCACCAGGTTCTCTGTCGTCTCTGGTTTAGTTCTCCACATACACGTGCCACTTAAACTGTCCACCACAAAGGTCCTCTCCTTGGTCGAAAGGTTCTGTTCCGCCTACAGGACTGAGTTCAGCTGCCTCAGCAAATCAGCTGTTTCCTGTCTCCAATGGCCCCAACTCAAGCCAGTCTGCAGGTCACCCGGACTCCCCTCTCTAGTGACGTCCCAGTGCAGACTCTAACTGCTCAAGCTTGCCCCTCCCCCTTCTCCTTTTTTCTGATATACAACAATTTGTGTGTGTTGCATGCACACTTCTGTGTACCCGTGCACATGCACAGGAGTACGCAAAGAAGCTAGTAGAGAGGAGTGGGTGTCCTGTTCTCAACTTCAGTTCCTTGAGACAGGTCTGTCACTGAACTTGAGCTCCACAGGCAGTCAGTAAGCTCAGTGAACCTCCTGCCCTCCCTCCCCACTCTACCCTAGCGCTAGGATTATAGGACTATATGGGATCTGAACTCAGGTCCTCACGCTGGCACGCCAAATACTTTACTTATTGTGCCATCTCCCCAAGTCAATCCTTTTATTTGTATGCTCAGTGCCCAGCTGATGAACTGTTTTGGAAGGATTAGGAGGTGTGTCCTTGTGAGGAGGTATGTCACTGGGTTTCACTACGTAGCTCTGACTGGCCTAGAACTTGCTATGTAGACCAGATAGGCCTCAAATTCACAGAGGCCCTCCAGCCTCAGAATGCTCGGATTAAAGGTGTGAGTCACCATGTCTGGCCAAATCAACAATTTTAAAGTGAATAAGTCAGTGCTACTCAATACATTTATACTGTGTGCAGACACTACCAGGTTACAAAATGCTTCTACCACCTCAACAGGAAGTCCTGGATCCACCAATTACCTACTTCTCCACCCTTGGGGACCATTCTATATTCCTTCTCTACGTTTTACTATTCCGGGTATTCCACAGAATGAATTGCATACTATGAGATCTGTTCCCTCGGGCTTCTTTGACCTTTATGAGGTTTTAAGGTTCATCCATGCTGCACACACAGGGCTCTGGGTTCCATCCCCAGCACCGCATCATGCACATTGTAGCTAAATGGTATTCATTACACATTTTTACCCAACTCGCACATTTTGTTCACTTGTCGGTTGATGACACCGGGTTGTTTCTGCCTTGAGTCTGCTGTGATTACCCCTCTTGAAATGTGCATGGGCGTACATATGTGAGAGCAGCTGTTTCTAGTTTGTTTAGGGTAGATACTTGGGGATGAATTTAGTTGGGCAGACAGCAAATTGATTTTAACCTAGAAAGATTTGTTTCTGTGGTATTTGTAGGTGTCTATGTACGTGACCGTGTGTGTGTGTGTGTGTGTGTGTGTGTGTGTGTGTGTGTGTGTGTGTGTGTGTTTGCAGGTATATGTGTGGAGGCCTCTTGGTAACCTGGAGGCCAGCAAGTCCCAGCAACTCTCCTGTTTCAGCCTTCCTTGGAGCTGGAATTGCAGGCATTTCTGTGGGGAAACTTAGGACGCAGGTTCTGGGATTCAAATTCTGGTCCTCATGTCTGTAGGACAAGTGCTCTGAAATGCTGAGCCATCTCCCCAGTCAATGTTTTCGCTTCCACAGCTATAAACCATTTTGCATGCCAACTCACCAAGTAGCAGAGCCCCAGACTACGTGCGCCACTACTTTCCATTTGTGGGGTTATAACCATCCTGGTGGGTAGGAGGTGGCCCCACATGGTTAAGATTGGCATTTACTTAATAACTGAGGCTATTTAGCTCCTTTTCATCTGCGTATTGTCCATTTTTTTTGTTTTTAAAGATAGGCTTTCAGTATTTGGCTTTGAACCCATGACCCGACTGTCTCGGTGTTCTCAGGGCTGTGAATGACAGACATGCACTCCTACCCCAAGCATGGCCATGCATATGTCCTAGCTGGAGAAAGGCCTTTCAAATCTCTTCATTTTAAGTGGGCTGTCACTCTGTTGTTAAGTTGAAGAACTTTTTAAATATTCTGGATTCAGCCTCCACGGTCTAGTCACTTTTTGGACATCGTCTTTGATACAGAAAAGAGGTCACTTGTGTACTGCACATCTGCAAAGGCACTCTTTGTTAGGGTCTGAAGCACCATGTCAGATCTTTGCAAGAGCTGCCGTAAAGCCCTTCATGCCAGCCACAGCTGATGCCTTACTATCTGCTGCAGTAGTTTCCTCCCTTAGTCTGAAGTTTCAGAGGTCAGGCATTTCTCCCTTTTGATTCTAAGACACCTTGACTTTTGATTTTAAAAGGTCATGTTGTGCTGTACCAGGCATGGTCACACGTGTGCCCGTAACCCCCACACTTAGGAGATGAAGGCAGAAGATCAGGGATTTGAGGTCATTCTGAGCTACAAGAGTCCGTCTCAACACACACACATGCACACACACACACACACACACACACACACACACACACACATGCACTCCTTGCTGGAATGTAGTGTGCCTTCCATTCCCTGGTAATCAGGAGGCATGACGCCCCTGTCAGGTCAGATGATACAGCATAATACAGTCTTCATTTCCTGTCACCCTTTCAAACTTTATCACTCCTACAGCCTTCCAACTGCCCTTTAAGTCTGTGAATTCTCATCATTTTTATTTTTACTTCATTAATGCCACTCAGTAGGAGTCTAAATAGAGCATCTGTTCTCAAATAAACACAACTTTTGGACAATACTGAACTCTGAGAGGCTTTCCAGAAGACGTCCCTGACCTCCTTCCATTTGGGTGAGCAGAGCTGACTACAAACCCTCTCTGGACACCTGTATGGAAGGTGTTGATCTGAAGTACAGAGACTTCCACGAAAGAGAAACCCTCCATGAAGGACACTGATGTTTAGATTGTCCCATGTTACTACAGGAGGGCGATTATTTCATTCAAAATGGATTTACCCATGTGACTGATATTTATAGGCTTACTGAACATCACTAAACAATGGAAGAGAAGACACAGCTCTTCTCTAAAATAATGTTGCTCTGAAACAGCTTCTGAGGCCAGACGGGTGGCTCAGCTGATAAAATCAGTGTCGTACAAGTATAGGGCCTGAGTGTGATTTCCAGAATGACCCAAACTCCTGATCTTCTGCCTCCATCTCCTAAGAGCCAGGCACGGGCTCAACATGGACGAAGGACAGAGGCTCTCTAGGGTTTGCTGCCTAAAAGGAGAGTATAGAGGAGTCACGTGTTTCCCTTCTTCCTTTTTTTTTTTTTTTTTAAAAAAAATCTGTCATGATCGGACACTGGACGGCCTGGGAATTGAACCCAGGTCCTCTGGAACATCAGTTAGTGCTCTTAACTGCCAAGCCATCTCTCTCCTCTCCCCTTCTCCCATTCCTTTTACGGCTAAGAACATATTAGGTACTAGAGTTAGATTCTTCAGGATAGGACAGCTATTGGATAATAACTCCATCCCCAAAAATAAGGTGGAAAGTAACTAACACCCCAATATCAACCTCTGGCTTTCACACACTCACACTCACACACACACACACTCACACACACTGTACACACATGAACATGTATACCCAAACAAGATAAAAAATAGGAAATTGAACTAATAACATAAGTTTCCTAAAGGCATTCCCAAACTCTCTGTAGTTTCTGCCTTATCCCAGCACCTTCTGTACTATTGGTTGGTATTTTAGGTAACTATCCAAATTAATTCTACTCTTCTTGATAAAGAGACAC